TGAATGCTTAGATATCCCTGTATATTTTAAATAAAAACCTGCTGGCCTGGGCCAGAAAACAGGAAAATGGGTCATCTCTGAGCTTTCAGTAGGATAATGGCCAAATAAACACAAAAATGGTTCTATCATTGCTCCCCCCAGATCAAAAGACCTGTGGGGCGAACTAAAGAAAAGACATAAAAGAGGACTTGCATGATTGAGAAATCTCTAAAGAGATGGTGCAGAAATGAATGCTTGATTTATAAAGCAATGAGGTTTCTAAGATTCAGCATTTCAGGCTTAAGATTCTTAGAATAGGATGACATTTATTCGTTTTGAGGGAGTATAAACTCTACAAAAACTCTCTAAAAGGCAAGTCACAAAAACACAGAAGACCAAAACAAGGCTGAAGGATTGCTTACAAATCTCTACACAGCTGAGCTCACCTCAAACTGCTGTGGACAGATTTCAGCCCCAACAGAAGAAATGGCACAATGCTGATTATAAATCCATGAAAGCAAATAACATGGCTCATTAATCAAAACAACAGACTTCACAGCTACAGTATGTAAAGCAGGGCAGGATTTACGCCTATAAATACAGCTTATGAATTTACACAAACCAACAACGATTCTAATAATTCAAACAATGAAACAGTTTGCTGTCTTGTAAATACAACCCATGTACTGGGATGCTGAAATATATTAAAACGAGAACATTAAAGAGGCAGAACCTAAATAACCCAACATTATCTTTGCATAATTCATGTCTGTGGAGAGGAACAGCCTGCAGGTTAACAAGTCGCCCAGTGAGAAATGTATGTTCTCCCTGGAGGGGCTTGGTTAGCAGGAGCAGTTCATTTGAAAACATCAAAATCAGTATGTGTCCTTTTTATTAAGTCAAAAACTAGGCAGCTTGGTTATGTTTGATCAGAGAAAGTTGAGGAGAGTTTGTTTGAAGGTGTAAGTTGTGAAAATAGCTATTTGCATTTGGAAAAACTACTTTATTTCTCACTTTAAAGCAAAGAACAATTATAGAGTTGTTAGTGCTGCTCCATTATTGCTTCTTGATTGCTAAAACAGTGCAACTCCTGCTCACTTCTCATGACACCATTTGGGTGGATTTGATCAGTGCCTACATTACAGTGTCTTAAGTTTAGTTCAACTAATTCAAAGATAAGGCACAAAGTGGTTTGGAAAAAAAAGTTTTTAGTTTTAGGTTTGTGGATACTTCAGATAAGGACTCTATTGACACTGACAGGTTGAACAAAGCAGGATTTTATTTCAACCAGGCTCAAATCTTTTGCTTGTTTGTTTTTTTGTGTTCTCTTTCCCCACCACCAGGTGGCACCCTGTTCTCGTTGGTCCTCCCACACACCTGCGGATGGTTGGCTCATTATCTGAGGACTCTTAAGCGGTGGACTGCCTCTACCTCGTCGCCAGAGTGTTTGCCAATTTTGGGAAGTCACGTTCATCTCTGATTTTTGCAAGCCGTTGTTCAAAGTTCCCACGGACCCTGAACTAACCTCTGAACTCCCCATCTCACTTCCAGTTCCGGTTCACCAGCTCTCTGAGTTACCCTGGATCAATCTTATTGATTATTTCAATAAACCTGTTAAACTTTTACTCTGGTTCTCTGAGTGGTTTCCTGCATGTGGGTCAGATCTCTTAAAAACACCATGACAGCCAGAGCTCCTGGTTTAGGTATGTGGTCCAGGCCAAACCTGAACCCTTGAGTATTATCAGAAAGTACAATACTTTTAAATAATGTTGGCTTTGTTTCTTCTCCAGTTAATATATTTCTATATATTAGGCTTTCTTGATTTTCTATGTAATTTGCTTAAGCCTTGAAGCCAAGTATAGATCTGCTTTTCCTTCTCTTATTTTCAGATCACTATACTGAAAACCTATTATCTCTCTGCTCCAAACAGCCCAATTAACGTTCTTAGAAAAACATAACAATTAGGATTAACTCTAGTTTTGTACCCCTGAGCATTTAAATAAGCAACATTTTAATATCTCAATATATTACTTTGACTCAGATTTGTTTGGGTTTCCGTAAATTTGCTGGGCTCCATCTGTTCATAGATATGTCAGATCCACAACACGTAGCCTCCATTAGTGAAAGAAAAATAGAGTATTACCATGGTTTAATCTGAAAACGTAATTATTCTAACAGTAATATTCAAATATACAAATGTGTTTTGTTATGATACAAATCAATATAACGTTCCTACAATATAACATTTACTTTGTCTAAATATGATCATTTATTGTGAAAACAGAGCGTGCAAATGCAGTTATTTTGTTAGATCATAAAACACTTGACTCTCAGGAATTTCATCAATCTCTACTCATAAGAAATTCCAAACAGCTTCTGTCAATGTATATTATTTTTGCTCTGGATATTTCAGTAAATGTCCCTTGTTGCTTTGTGTGTCAAATAAACTGGTTCAATGCTGTTAAGGTGCAGGACTTTGCATCTCTTGAGCCAAACATGCTACTCCTGTCATGATCTGGCCTGATTCCTCCACCTTGATTGTTTATTTTATTCACCTGTAGCTCCCTCCCTGCTGTAATTATCATTTATTTCATTCACCTGTTTCCTTGGCTGTATATTTAGTCAGCCTGAGTATTCGGGGCCTGATCATTCTGTCAGAAAACGGGACAGGTGGGACAGGTGGTATTCAAGGTAAGACAGCCAGTAGGAAAGTTGAAAGCGTTTATTTAAAACAAACAAGAACAGACGGAACAGAGGCGAAGCTGCTGAGGATCTGCGGCTCGCGGCGACTGCAGGAGGGGGCGCGGGGCAATGCCCAATCACAGACACTCTGATTGTGGGAGAAACACAGGTAAGTGACCATGATCATCTGTCAGGAGATGTTAATCAGAGTGAGTCACATACCTGGTTTAACAGCTGAACAGCTTCAGCAGCTTCACTTATGTTCTCTCTGTTTCTGGTTTTATTTTTATATGTTTTGAACTTTCCTACTGGCTGTCTCACTTTGAATACTGGGTCCATGTCTCCCGTTTATGACAACTCCTGATCAGTAACAAAGGTTGACACCTCACTTGAACTTCTGTAAAAGCTCATCTCCTATAGGTTCCTCTTCACTTTTCGAATGATTATTACAATACAATTAATACAATACAGCCTTTTAAATAAGTCTCTTCATGGCTCATTCTATGTATGAATTGTAAATTAATTAATTACTCAAGACAAACTATTTTCTCTCCGCCACTTATCTGCACTATTACTGACGCTATCCATATTTTAGTCAGTTCAATTTAATTCATTTTATCTATATAGCACCAATTCACAACACGTCATCTCAAGGCACTTTACAATTCAACCAGATCATACAGTCAAATTGGTTTTCTAAGGAAAATCAGTTGATTGCATCGACTCATTGACTCAGAGGCGATCCCTCACACTAACCATGCTTGTAGCGACAGTGGAGAGGAAAAACTCCCTTTTAACAGGAAGAAACCTCTAGCAGAACCAGGCTCAGTGTGAGCAGCCATCTGCCGAGGCCGACTTGTGTTTAAAGGAGACAGAAGCAGACAAAGAAAAAGAAGCATAGATACAAAAGGCAACTGTAAACCAGTAATTATAAACTCTAATGATTTGTTTTGTCAGATCCACAAAAATACAGTAAATCCTATTTCATCCCTTTACAGCTTTTTTCTTTGTCATTACACTGTCACAAGTACAGAGCAACAAAATTAACTCTGCATTTAACCCATCCCATTGGGGCGCAGTGGACTGCCATTGTGTGTCGCCATGTGGGGTGAAGGGTCTTTGCTCAGAGTCCCAGAGTGGCAGTCTGTGGGAGTGGGGGTTGAACTCAGAACCTCAGGATTCCAAGCCCTAAGCCCTTACCACTAGGCCTCCTTTCCCTTCACCTTGGGCTTTAAAGTGAAGCTTCAATACAAGCGGAAAGTTACTGAAAGGTAACCTCTATGAACTGGAACACCCCTTTAACAATTGCCTACATCATGACTATAAGCCGCTGACATTTATGTAAGAAGGGCCAATGAGGTGTTGCCAAAAATCTGGAGAAATCCTTCCACCTAAATCATGTTATCTTCCTGTAAACAGCAGAGTGGGAGATGATTTGCAGCTCCAGTGAAAGGTTGCACCTCTTGAAAGTGCATTGTCTTCTATTATAGTTCCTGTTTGTGCGGACCAGTTCAGGTTCTAGCTACTAGAAATGCTCCACACTGGACAGTAGTCCATATTTTAAAAAAGATGGATAATACAGATATTCAATAAAAGTTGCTTAAAAAAGGGAGCCAAGGGGAACCTCACAAGGTTGTTTTCTATTTGCTTATACTTATAATATAAAAATGACAGAATGTAGTGTAACTCTGTCAAACACCATCTGAACCTTTTCAGCGCAGCAACAAACGATCCCACCAACGTTTCCAACCTGTATTCAAACACATTAACGAACACACATTAACGAACTAATACAGTGAGGGGAAGGATTCCAGCCAGAGAGATTGCTGTTTTTTTAACCTTCATGTTTATTTTTGCTTTATAGCTCTTTTCAAATGAGAAAATGAAGCTTTAGACTGACTAACATAAACATTCTGACTTATATTTCTAACAAGCATTGAATGCAGTAAAACCTACAGGCTTTTAGTCTTATGTAGAAACAACAGCAAGATGATTCAATCTACATTTTTTAATGACACAACAGTTTTTTTTTTTTTTTTTTGGTAAAATGAGTTCTATTATTATCATACTATATGTGAAATGGGGATATACTGCAGGGACAAAGGGGATAAACAGAAAAAAAACGCCTTTTGGCAGTTTTCAGAAACACTGAAGCTAACAAGTGATTCCCTGTAGAACAAAGAAGATATAGTCTAAGAAAATAAACTCTAGATTAGATTTATATCCAGGAAGAGTTTGGTTGAAAGATATGAGACGGTGAAAAGCTCGGGAGAACTAAAGGATAAAGAGATGAAAGCAGCAAACACTGCAGCCAAGAAAGAGAAAGGAGCCGTCCTCACCTATAAACAGTTGGCTGTTGAGCTGCAGGTGGATGTGTCCCTCAGCAGGAGCCTCCTGGGTGGCAACTGGAAGATCATCAAGACGGAGGGACGCCTCCTTCACGTTCCGTTCGGCTCTGACTCGATGCCAACGATTGTCATTGAGGGGGTAGCTGCTATTAACTTGAACCTCCAACGGGCCGTTTCCAACATCAAATGAGAAAACAACCTGATTGGAAGCTGTAATAAAAAAAAATAAAAGCAAAAATTTAGATATTTGCAGTCCGTTGTCAACTTTCTCATTTTTTGTCATGTTTAACGAGAGACAAGTTCAGCTAATTCTACAATAATTATACACCACTTTCTTCATCTACTTTTTAAACACTTCCCAGAACTCTGAGGGCCTGAACTTCAAAGATTCAGAATAAGGGGCCCTAAACTGCATATGCGCAAATACCTGTAAACTGGTTTGGTTCCCTCCATTAAACTAAGCAGCTTGTATGTAGCACTTGACAATGGTTTTGTAAAGAAAGATGAGGTTCTAAGACATGTAGTGGGAGATAATAATAAAAGTAGAAAAAAAAATATCTCTGACGGCTACAAACAAAAGTGAAAAAAAGAAATTATGCAATTAACTTAAGTTAAATATATAAATAAAGAAAACATGAGGGAATTGTCTTTCTCTGTTTATTGATACCCCTATTTGTCCCTGTGTGATAAAGTTATCTCCACATTAACTTATTAGCTGGTTGCAACATTCTGGGTCGTAACAACACCCATCTAGAGTTCGCAGTTAAAGGAAATCTTTCATATCTCTATGGAGGAATTTTGGTCTCTTCCTCTTTGTTATTATAGTTTAGCCAAATTCGAGGGAGTTAAAGGGTTAAAAACCTACTGAAGGTCATAATTTGGGACTTTGGAACTAGCTAACTCCTTTCAGATCTGCTGCAGAGCTTCAGATCTGCTGCTTCGGGATACAGTAGTAGTAAGAGAGATTCAAAGATTCACAGTTGAATAAAAAATGCTAGCATTCAAGACCTACATTTTTTTCGAATAAAGCCATTTTAAAACTCTGCATTATTCAACAAAATCCATATAAAACCCACTTTAACTTGAGGCTGCAACAAGGGAAGACATAAAACAGATGAATCAGATATAAATGATTTTGGTAAAGCAAATGATGTAGAGTACACTGCAAATATAGCTTGTGGATTACTTCAAATCTGAATTTATAGGTTTCTTCATAGGTTTCAAAATGATGTAAAATGATGTACAATCTGTAATTTCCCCCTGGGATTATTAAAGTATTTCTGAATGCCTTAGAAAGTATGCAAAATTTTGCAATGAGTGGAGACCAGCAGCAGGGCTATCATTATGTGTAGGGGATTTTCATATGCACTGACCCGTCCAGCTGTATCTGAAAAAAAAAAAAAAATAGTTATTTTTTTTTTTTTTATTATTCTACATTTAAACAACTGATCAACAATCTCCTTTGGTTGAAGCCTGTTGGAAAGTTAGAGGTTGGATGTACTAAACACAAGACTTACAGCAAAGGTTTCATATTGCCAGATGCGACTGATTTATTTATCTGGAAAAAGAAAACTTTTAAACTGAATCAAAGTGCTATGCTGGAAATCTTTCACCCACAAACTATATGTGATGAATGGTGCAAATTTCGACAAGTTAAGAATTATATAACTCAGAGTACAGATCGCCATATCAGCCACTTTTGACAATATTGAGTAAAGCATTTCTCTAAAAAATGCAAGGAGGAGGAGAAATCTTAGTAACAGCTGCTTCACAAAACTTATGCTGTTTATATTCCAAGAAAAATCTGATAAGACAGTATTTTCCCGAATAAACATCCATCCTTCTTGTTTTTGCAGGTGGATGTATAACCCCGGGAAGATGAAACACCATCCCTGCTTCCTGCAGTAACTTCATTTTTCAGCAATTGTTCTATGAGCGATCTGAGGTGGACATTGTACAGGAACGGCAGCAGCTGGGAAAAGGCATACTGACGGAGATTTCCCTGAAGAGGGAAGCTGTTGGTGCATCTCTGTTCCTGTATTAGGTTCTCATTGGGTCATCTCCAATTTACTCTTTAAAGGAATAGTACACCCAAAACATGATTAGCCTTCATTTTCTACTCACCCCCATGCTGAACAACACTCTGGAGTACTTTTTTGATATCTCAAATGCATCTGGAGATCTGGGAGGCTTCTTGCTGTCTGCTGACATTCAAATAATGGAGGTCCATAGCGCCCGAGGCAGAAAGGTCCATAAAAGTCCACAAAAAAAGTGTCAATATTCCTCCATACTGCTCGTCCAATGTATTCCAAGTGTCCTGAGTGGGTAGTGTCCATAATTTACTCGAAAAGAAGTAATTTAAAATGTTTTTAGAGCATAAACAGTAGTGTATAGGATTTCCTAAAAGCGCGTTCACAAGCCTACGGAAACCGCTGCAGACCAAACCAGATGAAAGTGCGCATTCAGCGTCTGCTCTGCCGATAATGCAAGCGTAGAAGAAGAAATGTGCTGTTTACCTGTGCAAAGAAAGAAACAACGAAAGAAAAATGTCTGACGACTTCAGTGTTGAGGAAGAGCATGAGTTCTTTGCCGAGCTGAATGCGCACTTTCATCTGGTTTGGTCTGCCGCGGTTTCCGTAGACTCGTGAACGCGCTTTCATGAAATCCTATACACTACTGTTTATGCTCTAAAAACATTCTAAATGACTTCGTTTCGAGTAAATTATGGACGCTACCCATGTTTTTTGTGGACTTTTATGGACCTTTCTGTCTCGGGCGCCATGGACCTATTGCATATAATAGATGTTAGCTATATTGGACAGTCTGCTTCAAATTCAGTACTCCTGCTAAAGGTATAACAATAGACTGTTTCACTAAACTAGCATAATCTGTCCAACCTGTCAGTCTTAGGATGATGCTATGGCTCTGTTTCTGCTCCAAGCTCCATGGGAACTATGTTAGTGAGTGGATGGCATCATAAGATCTAAAGAATGAATGGAAATGTATGCAATAACATGGTGGCCTTGTGAACTTAGTTTTCAAGGAGTGCAGTAGGTGAAAAAATATGGTGAAATCTATATAGAAAAGGTTCTCCAGATACAAAATAGAGCATCTTCTCAGTCTTAAGACCTGAATACTGTAGAAAAATGTTGGTGTAAATTTATTTGAAGAAAAAAGAGCACATTTTGCAAAGAAGAGCAGGACAAATACCCTCTCTCTGTCTGTACTAACATTGTTAAACTTTTTTAGGTTTTTAGTTTTTTTGGTTTTAAGTTTACTTTTTACTTTTTGGTTTTAAGTGTAACCAAATCAAATGTTGGGTTTTGCAACAATACGATTCTGCCCCTACAACAGTAAAATATACTCTGCACATCCTCATCAGTAGTGCCAACAAAGATGTTGTTTGAGTGGAAATGTTAGTAGGACACAGATGTGTGAAACTAACAAAGTATTGTTTGACCTTAGATGCCAAGAGAATGTTTGGGCTCTTTCATTTCCCTCCATTCACAAATACAGTGTGTCCTTCTTACATTTTAGTTTCTCTCCAGAATGACAAACCTAATTTGAATGAGTTGGTTTTAAAATAATTGGTTATAATATTTTCTTTCAATAGAGAAATAACCTTTTTTAATAAAAACACATATTTCAGATATGTAAAAAAAAAAAAAAAAAAAACTATAATCCTTGAAATTCAAGCTCAGAGAAGCTTTGAAAACTCATAAGTGTAATAACTGCAATGTATTATTTACAAATAATAAAACCAATTATGAACGAGATAGTATATATTTACAGAGTTTTTTATAATAAACCTGAACCTGACTTCCTCTTATCAGGAATTGATGGTTCAGTAAAGAGTATATGAAACAGATTTTTTGGTTAAATTAAATTAAAACAGGTGTTTAATTTATAGCTGATCAAAATTAAAAGAGATATATCAGCCCCCCTTTTGATGATTACAGCCAAGGCCAACAGAAGGATAGAATAACAATAGTTTTATTTATTTAAATAAATTGTCCGTAGAACCCCCATTAGTAATTCATTTAAAATAAAACACTATTTCTCAAGAGCTTACAGGGAGATGTTATAGGGAGATTCTTTTTTTTTTTTTTACCAGACTGTGATTGTATCTTCTAGGTGTGGGCAGATTAAAGCCTCCAGGTTTAACACACATCATCCTAATCCGCACCAAATCCCAGCCTCCAAAGCACTTACAGCTCAGTTCGATGCGAATGAAGTCTTTAATGCCCAGGTTTTCCAGGAACACCCCGAACGAAGCAGTAGTCTTAAAAAAGAAGGAGATGTCGGCACTCAGCTCTCCGTGGAAGGTTGGGAAGTGGAGGTATGTCTCCTTGTCGAAGAAAGCTGCATTCCAGAAGTTCCCTGTGAAACGTGACTAGGATTATTAAACTGAAGTCACACAACGACTAACAGAACTGATATTTCTGAGAAAGGAGTTCACTGTTTCTTTGATAATCATTTTTGATTTAATCAAACATCAGATGCTGTGATTGTAATTAAAAAAGAAAGGACCTTCTATTCTCTAATTAATTAAAAAAGGTTTCATACAGAAGTAGACATGTAAAGTAGGAAATTTAGCCTAATCACAATTTGACTGTATTCATCTCATAACTGGCACACAACTTTAAAATTATTCATCAGTGTTATTTTAAAAGCAGAAAACATTAAAAGGCACAGAAATTGTAAACCAAACCTAAGTGGTTTAAATACATTCTATTTAACTCTGGCAGCTTTATAAAGAAAAAAACAAATCTTTAACTCAGAACAGGTTCCTACCATGACAGCATCACATTAAAAAGATTCAACACACTTCTGATCATCTACCATAAGCTGACTTTTTTAGCCAATTCATTTTTGGGAATCCTCTGGTTGAAGATTAAATCCCATTTTCTACCTGCCTGACTTTGCAACCTTTGAAGGTTCAAAGAAATCTACATGTGTTTTTCACAGGCTGCCAGAAGCAAAGCTGAGACGAATTTTAAATTAGATCATTAGGCTCTCAGTCTAATGCAAAGAGTTATGCTTCTTATATATTCTAATATTGGAAATAAAAATACTATAATAAAGGGGGAAAAAAAAGAAAAGAAAAAAAAAATATATTTTTTTTTTATCTAAAAAAACAACAACAAAAAAAACAGGTACTGCTAACAACAATACCTTATAAGACATTCTGGTGTTCCTAATTAAAGACATAACTGTAAAAGGGAAACCAGCTGTGATTTACATGACTTTTCTTTACATAACGATTATATTGTAGGCTCTGCTTGTGAATCAATGAAAGCTGCAAACTGAGAATCTTGTTGCAGAAGCTTTTTCTCCCATATCCAGTGGAGAGTTGCAGCATTTCTCCTGGAAGCAAAGGGCTTATAACCGCTGTCTGTGTGGTTCAGGTTGTCGTTCATCGACTCGCCAAGAGATAGATCTGCTCTCAGTGAGGACCAGTTATTGATAGGTTTATAGTGTGAGGAAAGGCATGAATCAGCTATTTAAACTGTAGGATTGGGTCACAGCCATTGAAACGTATAGTTTATGTTGGCCTATTTCTGTAGCTGCTGCACAGCTGCAGGCAGGATAGACTATGGATTTTATGCCCAAAGCCAAGCCTGGTCATGATTTCACACAGGACGGTTAGACGCAGGCTGGGTTTGGGTCTGATTCTATGATTTTTAGAATCAGAACTGAGTTTATTGCCAAGTAGGTTTGCACTTACGAGAAATGTAAATTGGTGTTAATGGTACAGATAAATGTTATATATATATATATATATATATATACATACATATATAGTATGTTTTATATTATATATATATATATATATATATACACAATATAAGACATACAATGTATTATATACAATATATAGTAAATAGCTATATACTATATACACAGTAGACTGTGCATTAATGTAATGCAGGAGATCTAGAAATGCTACGTTCATGTAGCTTCTTGGTCTTGATTGGGGGAGGGAGAGAGGCAGCGTCAGTGTCATGGTGGTCTCTGGGCCTTGTTGATAAGGATCGTAGCGAATGGGAAGAAACTGTTCTTGTGGCGTAAGGTTTTGGTCCTGGTGGACTGCAGCCTCCTGCCAGAGGGAAGTGACTGAATGACTGAAATAATTTGTGGCTGGGGTGCGAGGGATCAGCCACAATCTTCCCTTCATGCCTCAGAGTCCTGGAGGCATACAGATCCTGGAGAGATGGACGATTGCAGCCATTCACCTTATCTGCAGACCAGATGACATGCTGCAGTCTGCCCTTGTCTTTGGCGGTGGCACCAGTGTACCAGATGGTGATGGAGGAGGTGAGGATGGACTCAATGATGGAGGATTAAAAAGTGTACCATTATTGTCTTTGGCAGGTTGAATTTCACACTTCGTGTGATTCTGCAAGTGTGTCAAAAAACCAAAAACCCCCTTGGCAGTTTGGTTGTAATTGATCTACAAAATGTATTCAGACTTATCAACTAAAATCCTAGTATTTTATTTGTTTACTGCTTAGTGAAAATAGATAATGTGGTACAGCAGCTGTGAACATGAACCTGATTCCTCACAGCGTATCAGTAAATTTCTCTAATCCACATCACAATGGATTTGGATGGGCTCAGATTGAGGATGGAGTCACAAGAGCTGAAACTAAATCTAAAAACAGGAGAGTTGATGGTGCAAATCCAAAGTGGGAAGTTTGAGATACGTATGTATATGAGCCCACCCTGGAGCTGTGGGAGTGGAGACAGACTCATCTGAATCTGCTCTACTTTGCAACACCCTGAGTGTGACCTGTACAACCGGCACATCCGGGACAGACATTCCCTGGTTCAGTTCTCATTGTGGACGGCACTGTGCTGACTGAGTGCGGTCTAACCTAGCCATCCTTGCAGCAGTGCGTGCAGCTCGAACTGACTGTGTATAGTAGTAGATACATCCCATATTAGATAATCATTCTCTTCAGCTTATCTTTGGACTTGGGTCCACAATTCAAGTTTGTTGACCAGGTTTCGGTCAGGCTGGATATACCTGATCTATGCTTCAACAGAGAGCTGATAAAGATGAGCAGATGGTACATTTGACACGTCTGACTTTCTTCTAGAAAAGAAACACCTACTTTGTGTATATTTTAAGCACCTGCATTTAAAAAAAAGTTTAACCTAACAGGACTCATAGAGCTTTTAAAGAACTAAAAATAAAATATATACAAATAGAAGCAGTTTTATGTCAAAATTTGGACATAAAAAACCTTTTGAGACCAAGGAAAAGGTTAGCAGTTAAACCAAAGTAGGTGACATCTTTAGCATAATATTTGAGACATGGCATGATGACCTGTATTTCCTGTTATTATATTATTTTATAAAAGGCTTATTAGTAGTTATTTAATGGTGGGGATTTTGAATTTAGCTCAGCTATTGAGGTAATAGTGTGATCTAATTAAAAGTAAACTGTTAGCAGAGGCGATTCTAGAGTCAAGCAAAAAATCCTAGGGGGCCCTACTGACCAGTGTTCATCACCGTTATGTTAGGCTATAAATAATCTGACACCTATGAAAAATGTATTAAATAAAACCTTTTTTTTTATTCCAAATGTTCTAAACATGAACAACCTTGTTATTTTGGAAAATATAAAAGAATAAAAGTTAAAAATAAACAAATAAATTAAAATAAATGTATAATAAAATAAAAAAACTGTAAATTACTTTAAAAACCCAATATAAACTTTGTACAAAATATAAAGTATAGTAAGTGTAGTGAAATTATTGGGGTCCTATACTGCTTCCAGAATTGCTACTTACGGGCCTTGGCTTGTGCAAATGCAGACACTGAGGCCCCGTCCACACGAAGCCGAACCCTGGCCTAAACGCACTCATTTTTCACCAAACCAGCCTCTCATCCATACGAAGCCAGCGTTTCGGGGGTCTGTAAACGATCTTTTTTTTTTATGAAGCCTTCAGAGTGGAAAGATTTTGAAACGCCGTTTTCGGGTTTCCATCTTTAAGCTCTAACCGCTTTTTTTTTTTTACACGCATGCGTCATAGCGTCGCCTCTAAACACGCATGCGCGACACAGTATCACAACAACAATGGCGCTGTACTGTGTTGAATGGTTGCTGCTCATGCTACTCACCCTGCTGTCGGGCTTACAACAGAATCTTCTTCTTCTGGAATATCTCCAGGAAGAACAGAGCAATATCGACGACATAGTTCAGTACCTGAATTTGACTGAACCACGAAAATGGACCCGCAGGGCAACCATGTATAAATATTACTGCGCATGCCCAACATTTCGTCGCCTATTTTTGCTTTGGCAACACAGCGCCACTTACAGGCCTGGCATACATTTTGCAGCGTTTTCATGCATCCGTGTGGACGATTACATTTATTTTACGTCTCCGTCTTTACGACAAACGTTCTGGAAAATATTAGCGTTTCGTGTTCGTTTTGACTTCGTGTGGACGGGGCCTAAGTCCTCCAGATCCAAAGACCTTCGCACGCTATACTCAATAGAAATAAGCGCCAGTCCTGAAAGTCTCTCTTGAGACATGGAAAATTAATAATTTTCCTTCAGCTTAGTTACATAATTGCTTTCCAATTTACTGAACGATAGGCCTACAACGTCACCCATTCGCTAGGCTACATTCATTTTCATTAAGGGAAGTCATCCACCTGGGCTGGGAAAGGCTGGATTTTGACTGGGCAAAGCCAATGTCAATCAACATTCCATCCAATCAGAATTTTTAAATGCAGTTGTGCATCTCCTCAGTCACTATAGCGTTGCCACTTCATGCTCGCCTGTTGCTGTTTATCTACCGGGTGTACAGTAGCTGGCTCTCGGGGGGCCCCCCAGCGGCTTGGGGCTCCAAGCAGTTGCTTGGTTTGCCTGTTGACAAGGTGCGCCTCTGACTGTTAGCTACTTTCATCTAGTTTCATCCTTGTTAGGTTTAAATGTCATTACATTGGGAACCAGTGACGCACTTACTGTCGCCATGACACTGCAGTGATCCCACCCTGTATGCAGCTTCCGAACCTGGCCTCCGAACATCACCAAGTACCAGAGATCTGATCGGCAGGCTCTCCTTATGAGAAATAAGACCAGAGTCCTCATTCCTTCAAGAGGGGAAGAAGAGAGGAGGTAAAACCAGCAAGGTAAGAACAACTGAGCAAATGAGAAATAATTTCATAGATGAGACAGTGTGAGACAAAAAGGAAAATTAGAAAAAAAGAGATTAAGTTATGAAAACGAGAAAGAATGGAAGAGAAGCAAAGAAAATGAGGCAAAAGGAGGACAATGAGAAGATGCAAGAGGAGCAACTTTGAGGAGTAAACAATAGGCACAAAAATGGTGAAATAGTAAAAGATTAAAAAAAACCAGAAGAACAAAGAAGAGGATAAATAACATTTTTATCCTTTCACATGTATCCTAATTAGACTAATTAGGTTCCATGACACCACAACAAGAACAGCAGGATTTGCCTCTGAGGGGATCTTTATTTTATTTATTTTTCTCCCCCTGAGGATGACAGTGTCCTAGTCAGCCAGACTGGGTCCATCTTGACAGTTTACACTCCATTCCTGCCTCCTGATTAACAACCTTTTCCCAAAAGAGCACTATGGGTGGACAGCTGAGTGAGCGGCTTTGTCAATTTACACCTGTGGACAGATCATCTTAATGTCACTGTAGTAATGCTTTTGCTGGATTTACTCGTGCTTCTGTGGTAGATTATTCTGATAAAATGGAGGACGACAAAGCGTAAAGTTTAACAATCTACCAATCCGTTTATTGTTTGCTAGGTGGGTATTAAAAAATATAACAAAAAGGTACCCTCCTTAAATCCCACAAGCACTTTAAAATATTGAGCCACACCTGGACTTGATGAACACAGCTTAGAAATATTTTGAGTGACTCCTTGATCCTCCTCTAATGGCTCCTCCAGTCACTCTCCATCAAGTAAGAATTTATCTCAAGGCAAAAGCAGCTTGTACAGAGCCATTTTTCACCACTAAACGACCAAAAGATCATCATCTGAGAGCTTTACTGTCCACAGCGGACTGTTAAAAAAAAAAAATACATGTTTTAGTATTCATCAGTACCATTCCAATCTGTCAGCGTCGCAGTTACAATAGAGCTGTGGGTCCACGCAGTCACCCTGCAGGCCGCAGGCACACTGCTGACTGCCTGGATGAGCTCCTCCCCAATAGGTCTGGACCAGTCCGAGACCGGGACCACCGAGCCACCAGCTGAATGGAGATCCCTCTGAAACACAAGCATGAATTTTTAGTTTTTTCATTCATAGACTTACAGCTTTTCTATTTGTGAACATCTGCCTCCCTGATAGCCAGATGAGTTTGGAATAATGTCCAAAAGGCAGAGGGGATTACGGCAAAGTCCATCTTTCAAAAACTAAATGCATTTTTTTTTTGTTGTTGCATGTCGTTGTGCATTTGGTGCCTTGCTGCAAAATGTTTCTATAGTAGCATTCAAAATGGCCCTTCCCAGTCAAACGCAAGGCGAATGGCAGCCCACTCCCCTGCAACTCCCAGCAATTTCCCCTCCATGAACCCAACATGTTTTTTTACCCTTCCACTGAATCACAGGGTCTGACCAGGAGATGACGCTCTTCTTTAGCTCTTAATGTCCACAAATCATGACAAAAAATATATTTTAGTAAAAAGATTGATGTTTAAAAAGGAATTTTAGGGGATCAACCAAGGACCATCCAAGGGCCCATCAAGGAAAGTGGGGACATTTTGAATGGCTACTACTGTGCATTCAATTCCTGGCCTTGGGCCTTTTTTAGCAGAGCGATTGCACATTCTCTGGCCCTGTAAGTGGCAAAGCAGCCTTTCAGCCTGCACCATCTAACAATGGTATGAAAAAACTGTTAACACACAGCACCCTTTTTTAGTAGGAATACTGACGGACAAGTTACAACGCTCTTGAATACACACAGACAATGTAAAAGTTTATTCAGGAAACAGTCCTAAAATTGCCATAAAGGAGGCCAGCAGTTGAGACAGAGGGATGTTTGCCAGCTTCTAACCCCAATGCTGTGATATAGCAGATGATACACACTGTGAAGCTGCAAAGTCAGCACTCCTTTGTTATCCAGCAAGCAGTGAGGTTATGTTGAAACTTCTATTTCTCTTCTCATTCGTACCCATATATCACTGTCTACTGAGTTTTCATCCAATATTTTTATTAACTGACACAAAAATGGTCCCTCGCTCTTTTCTCTAACATAACAGTGTATCCGCCATCTTAGTTTGCACTGCAGCAGATCAAAATGACACTTTATTGTGTTACCTGTTGGTGTTTTTTTCACTAAAATTCTCTTTTTTTTCAAATACAAATGTATTATAAAAAATTTGGTGAATCATTCTGTTTATCTGCACAAAATGTGTTGATTTTGGTGCTCCATCTTCTAGATTCAGAGTTGCTTACAGAAATGCAAACTACCTGATGATCAAAGAGGTTCTATTTCTGGTTCAAACTCTTATGAGCATCATTTTGTATTTGAACTTCAGGCAAACTAAAGGAACATCTACGAGGATCATCTCTTCCCCTGAGATACGATTAGGGGATTAAAGGGATTAGGATAACATGGTTTAACAGTGAGATCAATCACTGAGTAATTAAAATATAATCCCAAATGCAGACTAAGATAAAAAAATATAAATGCACCTGAAGAGAACCTGACTCATTCAACAATAATATTAAGAGGTTTCTATAAATCTGCAGGATTTGTGCTAAACAGATTTATAAATTTAAATCTTAGTACTATGTGAGTTTCAGAAAGGTTTGCAGACAATGGCTCCTGCACAGCTCTCACTAGGGCAGACTGCAGTATTACTTGGACTGGAACATTGTAAGAAGTTGTTGCTATTGTATCTATTTTCATTGTCCTTTTCAAGACCTGGTCTGGGCATCTAGCTGTTTGTTGCACCCTCAAAACCACCCCAAAATTATCACTCCTTCTCCACCATGTTTTTGAGTTGGCATACTGTGCTAAAGGTGGCTTCTCATTAGTTTCTATACAACAAGAAGCTTAACTTTTAATGTGCTAACTCGGGTACCTGGTGATCAAAGCTTGAGATGGATCTTAAAGTGTTGGGATCTGGAGGTCTGTCCACTTTCTCCACCAGAGGGCGTATGAGATCTCCTGGAGCCAGAGCTGATTGCTACCACCTGTCGCTCATTTGCTCATCAGGAGATCTGTATTTAAGGAGGCAGAGGACTTCTCTCCAGTGCCAGAGTGTTTGTCAGTAACGATTTGAACCTGCCTGAAACCTGAAAACTCTGAAGAGTTTCTCTGCCGGTGATCTGCCTGTCCGTTCTCAGAAGACGCTGGAAGGAAACTCAAATCTATGATCCGCTAGCACTCAAATTTAGCTCTGCCTCCGCCTAGCCCTCAGCCTGCCGACAGCCTCTGGACCCTCAAGGTTCCCCCCCTCTGCCGCTCTGCTCAACTCCAGAACAGGTACAGCCCTGCACACTCTCATCCTGCAAAATACCTGGACCTCCACTAACTCCTCTGTCCCCCTCTGCAGTGAACCCACTCGTGACCAGTCCATTCTCTTCCTGGATCTGATTTAACTGTGTGCCTTTCAGAACCCACTCGTGACCAGACGAGTTCCCCACTGGATCTGATCGTTTATTGTGCACATCTTCTTAAATAAACCTTTGAACTTTTCTCCTGCCTCTGAGTGTTCTGCATGTGCGTTAGACACCTGAAACCAAACATGACATAAAGGTCTGTTATCAGAGAATCAGCTTCACCTTAGGGTAAGTAATCTGGGATGTTATCTCCTGGGGAGCACTTGTACCTCTCTCTTAATCTCTAGTAAATAATGCTTCATTCTGTAAAATGTCGTAAAAACGATTCTTCATAGTTTGGGATTTAATTATATAATTTCCCAGACTGATGTGCAGAAACAATTGCTTCTCTGATGCAACTGCAAGTTGCATTAGTTCACAACGCTGTAAGACCCAAAGCAGCAAAATGCAGAAACTCTGACTTTCTCTGAGGTGAGAAACCATCAATTATCTCCCTATATTTCCCAGTAATCAGTGAAGACTGTACTTTGTCTACTTGCTTTGATTCTGTTTTATCTTCCTGTATTTTAATCATGTAAAGCACTTTGCATTGTCTTTGTACTGAATTGTGCTATACAAATAAATTTGCCTTGCCTTGTATTCTATATTATTTTGGGTCTATTTTATCACAACCATGCATTCTTTGTCAGGTCAAAATTGATGCCGATTTTCTGTGGTACCTTGAGTGTTGAGAAGGCGGGATTTCCTGCATTGATAGGACAGCTCCTGTTGGCAATACTCTGATTGGTGGAGGATGGCTTTAAGCTGCTCCTCTGCAGACATGTAGTTAAAATGAACCATATGCTGGTTTTCACCCGGAGAGGGGCGGACTTTGGTCAGCTCTGTGTTGTTGTGCTGGACCTCCATCCATGTGTTCTCATCTGCTGACAATGCAAGAAGTTATTTTAAACCATGCCTCTTTAAAGCCTAAAATGTAATATTTGTAAAACAATACACATTCAGAAGTATTCAAATAATGAAATGACCTTATAAAATAAATATCTATCCATCCATCCATCCATCCATCCAAAATCTAGAATAATTTTTCCATTATAATCCAGTCCTGGAATTTAATTCCAGAATTTTCCAAGCAAAGGGGGTGTGAGTTAAAAGCCTCACTGAACCTAAATATGACTAAATATCAATATAAATGATGCATTTTTAACAGTATCTATTATTAGTTAATTGGTTATTTTATGCTTTCTTTTATGCTATCTATGTATTTAAGGTATAATAATTCAAGATGGTCCTATAATACAGATATTAAATAAAATTTAAGAAAAACCCATAAACCTGAGGAAGTGTATGATGAAAAAAACATCAACTTTGTCATTAAAAATATTATTTATATCATTTTATAATTAACAAATAAAAGGAAGAAAGACGGTGTTGTATTAAAGAAAAGATGAGTAGGATTATTAGTAATTATGTAATCATGTAAAACGTTAATTAGTAATGGAGGATTGAGAGTGTGTGCATTTGTCACCTGTCATGTTGCAGTAGACCAGCTGCGGTTTGATGGGTCCACTGCTGTCGACGTCGATGTAAAAATATCCCGAAGTGTTTCCATTGTGTTTGTACGCTTCACAGGACTGTTCATACACAGCTGGGAGTTAAAATAATGAGAAAGTAGTTAGAACGATAGAAAAGAACAAGGAGAATCGCTCACCATGGAGGATAAAGCTCCCTGCATCACATCTAGAAACCAACCCTGTTATGGTTTACCAAGATCACAGAAAGAAAAACAAACCTACAAAGTACAGTACATATCTACAAATAATCCTGAAGTTAGTTTGCCTTTTTATCTCCTTTTATTCCCCCCAAAAATCCCTTTCGTTTAACGCCTGCATTCAGGGTTTTTATAAAATTTTTTAAATTAAAACGCTTTAAATACAAACTTTAAAATTACCCAAATCAAATTTCCCTCACCATATTGGATTTGTTTATTTTTTTCATGGATCAAGTAGTGCTTCAGTCAAAACAGCAGGGTCATTCTCCCTTCGCAATTACATAAAAACTGTGACCTCATCAAACCTGCTTCAAAGAGACACGCTGCACAGATGTTAAATACTTCCACCCAGTTTGTTCCAATGGTAGAATAGAAAATTCCTTTACTGTACCGCGGAAATTCTGCTGTTTACAGCAGCAAAAAGATTATAGAAAAAAAACGGTCACACAAGTGCAGACCTTAGAAAAATGTATAAGAATATAATAATGAAGAGTTAGAAGATAAACAATACAATACTGTACTGTAAAGTGTTTTAACAATATAAAAACTGTGCGCCTGGAAAGCACCTGGTACATTCAAAATGTAATAGTAAGTGCAATCCCACAGGTTTCACAAAATTCACCGTTTAGATGTAGTTTTTAAAAGACAAGTTTCTTTATCCCGAGCTTTCACAAGGAATGTTATGTCGGACCTCATAAACAATGGTTCTATAAAATGTCTCCCAGGATTAACATCTATCCCGTTATACAGCAAAGGTTTGCTGGCCTTTTCTTCTTTATGAGCTGGAACTGAGTTTTTATCTCAAACTTGAACAAGAAATAGCTATAAGTCCCCCCCCCAGGAGAAGCATTGTATAACATTTATCCTAGATGTGCATTTTTCGTCTATAAAAAAAAGTTCTGCTGATACAGATATTTTCCATTTCAGAAGTTTTTGCTCTAACTTGTGTTTTCACTTTATTTTAACTATACCTATAAAAAGGGACAAATAATTTCATTTTTTACACCATGTTTGTTGTGGGAGTTGCACAGCGGAGGCATTGAAAGTTTATCACCGTGCCACTGTGCAGAAAGTGCTGCAGGGCAATAGAATCCTCTTCACTAACAGATTTAAGTTAGATTAAAAATCTCTTAAGCAGCAGAAAAGCGTATTCTTTTATGAGCATTGCTCTTTAATTTATTAGATACAGTAAATATGAACACTTATAATTGCATATTTGTTTTTAGGATTGAATTTTTTTAACAAGGTATACTGTTTTATGATTTTATTTTTTGACCTTATACCTATCTGAAGTAGCTTTTAGTTCATTTTAGACGTAATTGCTTGTGAGCAAACAGAGCTCTGGTCAAGCATCGGGATCTGCAGCAATCCAAATCTAATTATAGGATTTGAAGTGAAGAAATATGGATCTGTGCATCCCCAGCTACAAGAAAAGAAAGGCAAAACTAGGGGTAAGCTTTAATATTTTTCATCATAAAAATATATACCTTTTTAAAGATACGTCTTGCAAATTGTCTTTATTATTGATGAGATGCCATTACCTGTTAGAAACAAACTTCTTGGCGGAAATAAAGAAATATTTTAAACTTCAATCTGCCAGGGGTATGACACTTTTGATGTCTAACTTTTTAATATCCTGTATCTCTGTTGATCCTTCTGTGATTGTAAAGCTGTGAGTTTTCTTTCTGGACACATTGTGATGCTTTGCTGTCATCATGTGACTCACAGCTGTGGCAGGTCGCTCCGCTGTAGCCGCTGTCGGAGCAGTTACAGTGAAAGACAGACCAGGTCTGACTGCAGAGGCCGCCGTGTTCACAATGACTGGGAGAACATCTAAAAGACACAAACCGAAAAAAAACTCTTCTTCAGAGCCATTTCATCAACCATTTTCAGACGCAAGCACTGAATTCCATAATGGGGCAAAACAATTTACACATTTAAAAAACAATACATAAATGCACCCTAAAATAATCATGCAAACTTTTTTCTACCATTTAAAAACACGCAGAAGCATTTTGTTTCAGTTTGAGGTGAAACAGTATAAAAGACTGCATTATGTGTAGAGAGTTATGATAATATAATAAATTATAGCTTCGAGACTTCTAAAATATGAAAGTAAAATTTAAAACAGTCAATGAGTTTGTATCCTTTGGAACAGCACCCAGGATTTCTTTTTGCAGTATGTTAAATGTTAACTAACTTATACAATGGTTTATGTTCTCACAGAGTTCTATATCTGCTAAACATGGTTATTAGTTTAAGAATTTGATATCTGAATGAGTTTCATGCTCAGAAGGATCACATAAAATAAAGCAACTGTAAACTGTAAAAAAATGTAAAATTTATACCATTTAAAGGAAAAAAAGCAGGGTAGTAGAAAAAACATGTTTCCATTTGCCTGTGTAAATTCCCTGTAATGACCACAAAACAGGCTTAAATCGGAGGCAAACGCTCAGTATTTGTAGGACATTTCTACACTTTTCCAATTCAATTTGGTTTATTTATATAGAGCCAATTAACAACAAAAGCCAACTCTATGAAGGAAAAGTAGATGATTTCATAGAGTCGTTTACTTGTAAGACATGCTCCTCCTGGTTAAGCTAGCAGTAACGATTTTTTTTTTTTTTTTTGTGGTGGATTATTCAGCAATTCCTCACGCTGAGAATGCAAGCAGCAACAGTGGAGAGGAAAAATCCTTTTTAACAGTAAGAAACCTCCAGCACAACCAGTCCCAGTGTGAGTAGCCTTCTGCCGAGGCGGACTGGTGTTCAAGGTGAGAGAAGCAGACATACTTAAAGGAGCAATAAAAAAAAAAAAGGTAACTGTTAACTGACTCCCCAGGCGGCCCTGTACTGGAAAGATACAGTCAGGCAGACAAGCTCTGGGGGTCTTTGTCATCTTTTGTCAAAAACACAAAATAACAAAGGCACTGGAGCAATCTGCATTTGGACTGCTGATGTTTTTTAGCAGCATGGAGGTCCATCCTCCCAATCACACTCAAATTCAGATGCAAGTAAAATTACCCCCCATATTTTTGTTGCATATGGCCTATGTGTTAGGCATGATTTAAATGATGAAGTAGAAATGTGTGTATGATAATATTAAGATAAGTTTTGAAAAATTTAACAAATAATAACAACCCTGTCGCAAAAGTACCTTCATAAACAGCAAAATGTATATTGACATCATAGGATGATCTGGTCCTTAACCTTGACATTTCTGTAGAGGACGCGGTAAAATTCACTGCAGTAGCCTCCTGCTAGTTTTGTTTTTGTTGAGGAAACAGTATGAAAAACATGACAAAGTGTTCAAACTGTTAAAACAATCCCCAGACATCAACCTGACTGAGTATTTGTGTGCTGGTAAAACAAGCTGAATTTAGGGAAGGCAAAACTTGCTGCTAAGGCACTGTAAGAAAGAAAATATCCTGGAGATGAAGCTGGATCTCTCAACAGCTCAGAGATGTTCTCGGACACAAGAGACACTCATTGTTCTGCTGTTAAGTTTACGTGAACTCAAAATAGGTCTGAATTTCAGGATTCCTTGAGGTTTTAATGTCTCACTTCAGCGATTTGTTTGGAATGCATAAAGTAAGAAAAGCTTACTGCTTCAGAAAAATTTCAGTGTCAAATATTTTATAGTGCAATGCAAGGAAAAGACACATACCTGATAAGCAGCTCTGGGACACATTAGGGCCAGTGACCCATAAGAACAATGTAAAAGCTCAGAGCTTTAAGACTTAGAAGCTAATGAGAACCTATGCATACTAACAATTTAGCAACTCCAAAAATTGCGAGATACTTCTCTCAAGCAGGCCTATCCTCTTAGGAGCCCCTTAAATCAGAAGCAAACCAACAGTGGGAATCTCTTCTGTTGTAACTAGTTTTAACTAAAAGGACCAGGATTTCAAGCACAAAGAGGTCTTTCCTCTTAAGAGCCCTTTAAATCAGATGCAAAGAAACAACCGCCTGCCTCTTACCTAGACCTAGGTCTGTTGCTGATTGTGAAATGTTGACTCATTAAGATTGTTGTGGCATTTGTTTGTGGCCGGTTTGTCCGAAGCATCTTGCTAATCAGTTAGCAACTTAGTGCTAGTAGGTTCCCAATGGGAAATTACATTGGAATCAAGTAGCACAACATTGGTGACTTAGAAACAACATTGTCAAGGAACGCTATGAACAGTGGAAACATGCAAGAGGAGGAGAGTTTTGTGTCGGAGTATGAGTATTTTTTATTTAGAGGAGGAAAGCGTGGAAGAAGATGTTGTGGAAAAGGACGCCAGGGCGGCAGAAGCTTGGTTTGGTGTAGAAGGCTTACAGCCATACATGTTTGAGCCCTTGCCTCGCAACGCTGCCAGTTCTGTTATCTCTACGCCTGCAGAAGACACAGACGTCCATCTCCGTGAACACTGGGACGGAACTCAATGGGAAAGGAAATGATTCTTTTTTTTCTTATTTAAACCATTGCGTATATTAGCTGCGACATATGAATCAAGATGCTATGACCGAAGAAATTTCATTGACAGATGACCGTTGATATAAGACGTATAACTAAATGGACTGCATAAGATAACGAAAAAACCCCACAGATTTTAAGACAGGATTTATTTTTATAGAAATTTTCTACATTTTGGCACAATATAGTCTGATAAGGATTACATTTACGTACATGTTTAGGCCACAATGTTGGACATTTAAATAACTCTTCCCTACACCTTTAACTAGATGGTGGTGTTAATTGTGCAATAGAAGTGAAATGTTCGCAAAATTATATGGTCTGACCTGAACGCACATGGCTCAGGTGGCATATGCATGACCAGGATGGCCGAGTGGTTAAGGCGTTGGACTTAAGATCCAATGGACACATGTCCTCGTGGGTTCAAACCCCACTCCTGGTATTACAACGCTTCCTTGTAAGAGCTTGTAGAAACGCTTCCTCTTTTTTGAAGGCCCACTACCTCTTGCAGGTTGCTTCTAATAAAAGTTTAAACAGCACCCACCACAGTAGCTGATTTCACTCAACCATTAAATCACACAAATTTTATATCCGTAAACAAATTAGCTAAAATTATTATTAGAGTAAAGATTACATGTTCGTAGTTGTTGCTCGGTTTTTATGAGTCCATTTTAAAACTAATAAAGGAGGCCGTTGTTAATTCTGCATAGTAACCCTTTTAGCAACCCTAAAAATTGGGAGATACTGATTTTAAGCACAAAGCATCCTTTCGTCTGAGGAGCCCTTTAAATTAGATGCAAAGAAACAACCAGCCAGCTTCCTAACTATATCAGTTCTCTGTTGTTTGGTGTTAATATTTGAATTTAATTGAAATGTTTACAAGATGACATGATCTGTACTTGAGACATATGGCTCATGTGACAAAAGCATGACCAGGGTGGCCGAGTGGTTGAGGCTTCTATGGAAGAAAAGAGAAATTGATTGGAAGGGAATGCATGTACTGACTCCAGCAAGCAACTCATAAAAGCAAACTATAACTATAATCAAAGATGACACAAGTTTGATTGGTGACATATGTGTAGGCTGCAAAAGGAGAGAACTCTAAATGACGCATCTTGAAGATCAAAGTTTACCTCATCGTTGAACCTTGAGTATTATAGAATTTCCCCAGTTTTCCAGTGGAAATTGTGACATGGGCGCATGTTCATGTGTAATTTTCATGTCAGCTTTGGGTATTTACCATAACTAAGATATCATATGAAGGCAACATTAGTACCATATTTTCCAGACTAATACCTATTTCCCACGCTTTGAACCATGGGGCCTACACAAAGGTGTGGCTTTTCTGTCGATTTTTCCTTTCTGACAGGGAGTAAAAGTCAAAATTGCAAATAAAAGAAGAAGGGGATTATTTTCATTTAGCACAAGAACATACTAGCAGCAGGCAGAACAGAGAACAAATGTCATGTATTCAAACATTTAGACATTTATTTGCCAAATTAAAGCTGTCGAACGAATGAAGAGAGTCTCCCTCAGAGATCTCCCTCAGAGCTGAAATAAAGAGCTGACTAAGGCTTATCTTTTATTAGAAGCTCCTACTGCTGCGAGCCAGCAAGCAAATGAGAACTAGCATTCTTCTTTGTCCCTACTCTACGGGTGATATGTAGACCCCTCCTACAAACACAGATCTTTACATTGGAGAGACTAGGCAACCACTATACAGCACTGCATGAAAAGTGGGATTTTCGTCAATATACGGCACTGTAGATTGTCGTGGAACTTCAGGTTAGCGGCAGTTTACGGCAATTTGCAGGCTTCGACGAAAACTCCCGTAAATTGTCAGAAATTGACGTGGAATTTCTTAGGCAGTGTTCCCCCCATGCCTCCCCCCCATGGAATTCTAGGGGAGGCTTTAACATGTAAATGAACATGCTGTGAGCTATACAAATGCAAACCAGGGTTGCAGGGGGGGTTTTACCCCCCCTGCAACCCTGGGTAAGAAAATCTCTGATACAAAGAGATCAGGTATAGCCTCTTACATTTTAGCTTGAATTGATTTATTTAATTAAAGTATAGAGACCAAAACAGATCTTTAGCTGACAGAGCAATACATTTAGAGCAGTAATTATTTTTTTTTAAATTTGCATTTAAGATAAAAAATAAAATGTTGTCTGTCAATATGCTCAATTCACAATTACTTAAGTGGAAAAGTTTCAAGAAATGATTCTGAGATGATTCACTTTATAACATGGCGCATTATCCTGTTGGAAGTAGCCATCAGAAGATTGGTACACTGTGGTCATAAGGTCATAGGTCAGCATGCTAAATTGGTTTTAAGTGGCCCAAAGTGTGGCAATAAATATCCCCCAAATAGATGG